AAGGAAGGAAAGAAGGAAAGGAAGGAAGGAAAGAAGGAAGGAAGGAAGGAAGGAAGGAAAGAAGGAAAGGAAGGAAGGAAAGAAGGAAGGAAGGAAGGAAAGAAGGAAGGAAGGAAGGAAAGAAGGAAGGAAAGGAAGGAAGGAAAGAAGGAAGGAAGGAAAGAAGGAAAGAAGGAAGGAAAGAAGGAAGGAAGGAAAAAAGGAAGGAAGGAAAAAAGGAAGGAAGGAAGGAAGGAAGGAAGAGCCGTGGTAGCACAGTGGTTAGAATGCAGGATTGCAGGCTAACTCACTGCTCACCGCCAGCAGTTCGATCCTGATCGGCTCAAGGTTGACCCATCCTTCCATCCTTCCGAGGTCGGTAAAACGAGGACCCAGATTGCTGACGACAATATGCTGGCTCTGTAAACCGCTTAGAGAAGGCTGTAAAGGCACTGTGAAGCGGTATATAAGTCTAAGTGCTATTGGGAAGTGCTATTGCTACCACTCTATATAAATTAAATCTCCCCTTTTTATTCCTGGGAAGGAGTAAATATCGTCCTGTCTACAGGCCAATCTAGGATTGCATCCCACCCGTGCCACCCAAACTGAAGGAAACGTAGCTTATTAGCGCTGTTTGTGCAGAGGAAACCCCACGTCGTGAACTCATTGTGCTTTTTTCCCCCTACTTTGCTGGCGGCCCACTGCTTCATTTCGAGCAGCCGAAAAATTAGAAGGTGAAGGGTGATGTTTGCCTGCTGTCATTTCTCCATCTTCTCCCAGAGAAGGCCTCCCTCCTTCCAAACTTCAGCAGCAAAGCTTCCCCTGCAATTGGCAAGTTGATTACCAGCTGGCTCCAAAGTGGGAACGGAAAGCAAAACACCCGTTTTGCAAATACGTTGTAATTAAGCGGATCGAGAAGCACTAGAAGCAAAAGACTCCCTTGCATTACAATGAGGAGACACCCCCCCCTTCCACAGAGGGTGGCGTTGAACCGCTTGCCTCCAGAAGTTGTGGGTGCTCCATCACTGGAGGGTTTCAAGAAGAGACTGGACCGCCATCGGTCTGAAACGGTGTAGGACAGTGACGGCGAACCTTTTAGAGACCCGCGTGCCCAAACCGCAACCCAAAACCCACTTATTTATCGCAAAGTGCCAGGGCTGCATCAGCATTGTGGTGCCCTCAAGGGAGGGGGGGCCAGGGAGGCGCCTCTGAGTGCCGCCTCTGGCACGCAAAAACTGGGGGCGCAAAAATGGGCCACTGTGTTGCAAGGCGCAAAAACGGCCGCCACCGTGCCGCGGGGTGCAGATACAAGGTGCTGTACCATGCAAAAACGGGGCCGGACTAGTGAGTATCACGCAGGCCCTAGCCCCGTCCCATTTGCAGTGCGTGCGTGCTCGTGGCCCCATGCGCGCAGGCACACATGTAAAATGCTTCCCCCTCCCTTTTCTTCCAGTCCACCAATCGACAGTGGTTGGTGACCTCTGCTCTACCACCTCTACTCGAGGTTGCTAGCCGGCCGCTTCGCCTCCTTTGTGCCGGGCGGGGCTCCTGCTCCAGGCGGCGGTGACGGCCTGCTGCTGGCGACGGCGGTGCGCGTGCCCACAGAGAAGGCTCTGAGTGCCGCCTCTGGCACGCGTGCCATAGGTTCGCCACCCCTGGTGTAGGATCTCCTGCCTGAGCAGGGAGTTGGACTAGAAGACCTCCAAGGTCCCTTCCAGCCCTGATGTTCTATGTTCTAAATAAGTTCCCTCCTTCTTGGGAACAATGCAAAGTTATTAAGGGCTGTGTGCTGAGTACACAGCGTACAACTTCTGGAATCAAGCCATCCAAAGGCAAGATATACAATTATTGTAAATTCTATATATCTTGCCTTTGGACGGCTTGATTCCAGAAGTTGTGGGTGCTCCATCACTGGAGGTTGTCAAGAAGAGATTGGGCCACCATTGTTCTGAAATGGTGTCGGGTCTCCTGCTTGAGCAGGGGGCTGGACTAGAAGACCTCCAAGGTCCCTTCCAACTCTGTTATTCTGTATTCAGTGGAATGATTTTACCATCAGACGTTGAGGGTGCTCCATCACTGGAGGATTCCAAGAAGAGATTGGGCAACCATTTGTCTGGAATGGTGTCGGATCTCCTGCTTGAGCAGGGGGTTGGGCTAGAAGACCTCCACGGTCCCTTCCAATTCTGTTCCGATTGATTGATTATTCCAGCTGTGATGATGGTTCCACAGAGGAAGACCTGGTAGGAAATTGGACCGGTTCTATTACGGCCATCGCAACTTCCATTTCATTGGGAAAGGCATGGTTACGATGCAAACACACCCACACCAACAACTCAAAAATAAGAAACTCTTTATCTTCACCTCCCCACCTCCAATTCCGGGCTCGGCATCATTCTGTTCCCTGCAGATCCCGTGTCACGGTTCTCCCCCAAACGTTGTCCATTGGCTTGTGGTCCTGACGTGCGTTTCTCTTTCCTCACAGAATGGCGGCAGGCCAGCGGGACCAGAACGATCCTTCAGGATGAAGATCTCACCACCAAGATTGAAAACGACTGGAAGAGGTTGAACACCCTTGCCCATTATCAGGTGTGTAAATCAGCTTCGGTTTGATTAGGCTTGGTGGTCTTCTGTGGTCCGTCCTGTAAGGTTGGAGACCACCAACATTGCTCTCCTGGATCAGATCTAGATTGATTTAGCTGGCATTCTCCCAAAGGTGCTTTTTTCAGGAGGCAACTGAACTTCTCTTGTTTTTCCTTCGAAGACATTTGGCTTCTCCTCCAAGAAGCTTCTTCAGCTCTGTGTCAACGCTGCTCACATCGGATGTTCTTTCTTTGACCACAGGTGGAAACGTAGCCCTCTTTTACCTTTTGCTTTTAGAGTGAGATGGTGCTGGGAGGGGGGGGGGATGTGAACGAGAGCCCAGCTAGACATAACAACACTAAACCTAGCGTGAGAATCAAGGTTATTGTAACCAGAACTGATAAGGAATTGGCGGGCTGGAGACCTGGAGAGGAAGCCCGCGTTTCAAGCTAATGTGATTTATGACTGTTAATTGGAGGAGGGAATTGTGCTTTGATCCTATGTGCCCAGGGGAGGGGAATTCAGTTTTTGGCTTCGATTATGCCGTGCCGATGTTGTGCTACTCCAAATGAAGATTCTTTAAGGTAAACAATGCCTCGAAGTTCGGAGTCGGAACCATGACACTCTGACTGGATGGAAGGGGGGGGAATGGAAGGATTTATACTGCTTGAAGAGAGTTGGTCATTTGTATTCTTTTAGTGAGTCGTTGAGGTCACCTGTCCCCTCAGGGTCACCTGAGCGGTGCAAATGGGTGTGGAGCCTTCTTGGAACTGTTGAAAGGACGGTGTTAGGTAGATGATGTCGGATCCAGGCAGATAAACCTCCAAGTGGCCTCAACAACTCTCTGAAAAGAATGCAAATGACCAGCCGTCTGCAAGGAGTATAAATCCTTCCATTCCCCAGCATTCAGTCAGAACCTGAAGAAGCTTCTGGAATGAGAAGCGAAACGTCTTTAAAGAAAAACAAGAACGTCCAGTTGCCTCATGGAAAAACACCTTTGGGACAACTGTGACCTGGATGACATTTATCTGTCATTCTGTCCACAGGTCGCCCCCCAAAAATGTACCTCCTCAAGAACTCACCGATGGGACATCAAGCCAGCCTTACAGGTAGTCCTCGACTTACGATCACCATTGAGCCCAAGTTCTTGTTGCTAAGTGAGACAGTTGCTAAACGAGTCTTGCCCCATTTTTGCAACCTTTCCGGCCACGGAATCACTGCTGCCGTTAAGTTAGCAATGCAGTTCGCTTAGTGACCGTCCAGAGTTACGATGGCGCTGAAAAAAAGTGACTTAGGGCCGGTTTTCACACTTATGACCGTTGCAGCATCCCCCCATAGGTCACGCGATCAAAATTTGAACGGTCGGCACAACTGGTTCATATTTATGACGGTCGCGGCGTCCCTGGGGGGGGTCCCGCGATTCCCCTGGAGCGACCTTCCGACAAGCAAAGCCAGTGGGGGAAGCCCGATTTGCTTAACGGCCGTGCCACTAACTGAACAGCTGCAGTGATTCAGTCGACAGCCGTGGCGAGAAAGGTCACAAAACGGGGCAAAACCTACTTCACAACCATCTCACTGAGCAACAGGCCCCATTGTGGTCGTAATTTCGAGGACTGCTTGTAAATTGATACGCCGCCAGTAGCTCCGGGCAATTTATAATTTGATTTATTCTTCTTCTTGTGCCATATCCGTTATCGGACGTTGGCGATCATGTTGGTGATCCTGTTTTTATCAGCAGCCGCACGAAAAAGTGCTGCTGAGTTTTGTCCAAACCCGTTCCTTAGATTTTGAAGCCACAATGTTCTTCTTCTGCCTGGACCTCGTTTGCCTTCCATCTTTCCCTGGATGATGATGATGATGATGATGATGATGATGATGATGATGATGATGATGATGATGATGATGATGATGATGATGATGATAATAATAATAATAAAGTTGGAAGGGACCTTGGAGGTCATCAAGTCCAACCCCCTGCTCAGGCAGGAAACCCTAGACCATTTCGGACAAATGGCTGTCCAGTCTGTTCTTAAAAACTTCCAGTGTTGGAGCATTCACCGCTTCTGGAGGCAGGTTGTTCCATGGGTTAATTGTTCTCACTGTCAGGAAGTTTCTCCTTAGTTCTAGGTTGCTTCTCTCCTTGGCTAGTTTCCATCCGTTGCTTCTTGTCCTACCTTCAGGTGCTTTGGAGAATAGCTTGACTCCCTCTTCTTTGGGGCAGCCCCTGAGATTTTGGAACACTGCTGTCATGTCCCCCTCGTCCTTCTCTTCGTTAAACTAGACATCCCCAATTCCAGCAACCGTTCCTCATATGTTTTAGCCTCCAGTCCCCTGATCGTCTTTGTTGCTCTTCTCTGCACTCTTTCTAGAGTCTCAACATCTTTTTTACATCGTGGTGACCAAAACTGGATGCAAATATTCCAAGTGTGGCCTTACCTGTTTTTATAGCTTGTCTTCTTCCTTTCCCACTCAGCTAATTTTTGCCTACGTATTTATCTCACATCCCGCCTTTATGCTATCCTTGTCCACCCAGCTTCTACGTAACAGCCGCCTGTAAATCCACATTTCAAGTGCTTCTAGTCTCTTCGGGTGGCCTTCTGTCAGAGACCGACTCTCTACTCCACAGAGCAGGATGGAAAAAACATAGCATCTGACAAGCCTGATTTTCAGTCTTAGGCTTACACATCCAGTGTATACGGCAGAGGAAATCAACCAAGAATGGCCTGTTGTGTTCGAAAGGGGGGCAGAAAATACAATTATCTTTCCTCCTTCCCTTTCCTGCATCCTTTTTTTTTGGGGGGGGGGGTTTACCCTCCCCAGTGATGACATCGGATGAAATGTCAGGGCGCCTATTGAAAACAGGAAATAACAGGAATTAATTCCAGTCAGACCATGAAGGAAACTGGTGTGTCCTGGCCTGAAGGGAAATCTCAGAAGTCGCTTACAAATCGGTCTGTTTGACGGCACGGAGCAGACTTCCTCAACCTTGGCGACTTGATGATGGGTGGACTTCAACTCCCAGAATTCCCCAGGGCGCCATGTTGAGAATCACGGGCATAAATCACTAACAGTCTAACAATCTGACTTGGTCCCTCTCCACACGTCCTCCTTTGTGAAGCGTGCAAAACAGCGTTTGCAGGTTGGGGGGTGTCGTCGTATTTCCCCTCAAATCCAGAAGTGGTCCTGATCTTGCCTAACATAGAATAAAAGAGTTGGTAGGGACCTCGGAGGTCTTCTAGTCCAACCCCCTGCTCAGGCAGGAAACCCTATACCATTTCAGACAAATGGCTGTCCAGTCTCTTCTTAAAAACTGCCTGGGCAGGGGGTTGGACTCGATGACCTCCAAGGTCCCTTCCAACTTTATTATTATTATTATTAACTTCCAGTGTTGGAGCATTCACCGCTTCTGGAGGCAGGTTGTTCCACTGGTTAATTGTTCTGTCAGGAAGTTTCTCCTTAGTTCTAGGTTGCTTCTCTCCTTGATCAGTTTCCATCCATTGCTTCTTGTCCTGCCTTCAGGCTCTTTGGAGAATAGTTTGACTCCCTCTTCTTTGGAGCAGCCCCTGAGATATTGGAACACAGCTGTCATGTCCCCCCTCGTCCTTCTCTTCATTAAACTGGACATACCCAATTCCAGCAGCCGTTCTTCGTATGTTTTAGCCTCCAGTCCCCCTGATCGTCTTTGTTGCTCTTCTCTGCACTCTTTCTAGAGTCTCAAGTTCTGGTGGCAAGCTGTTCCACTGGTTAATCGTTCTCCCTGTCAAGAAATTCCTCCTGAATTCTAGGTTGCTTCTCTCCTTGGTGAGTTTCCATCCGTTGCTTCTTGTCCTGCCTTCGGGCGCTTTGGAGAAGAGCTTGACTCCCTCTTCTTTGCGGAATGTTTTTGTGTGATTAGAAGACTATTGACCATCCTCGCTTTGTGTAAAGACAAGATGATCAGCCCGATGTGAAAAGCCACTTTTTGCAGGCTTCCAGGAGAGCGGGTTAATTAGCATCCCCGAGTTGCTTTTGAAGACGAAAAGCACTCAGCGCTAAGTGCTAATTATTGTTAGGGCTCGTGGTAAGAAGGTCCTCGCCCTTGCCCGGCTCATCAAAGATGTGCCAGATGCAGCTCCTCTTGTCGATGGCTGAATACTCAAGTCTTGTGTCATTCTTCCCAGGGACACCGCGAGGCCATCCAGTCGGAGTCCAAAGGTGTCTGTCTGTTGCGCGTTCTTGTAGCCGGTCCGTTACGGAGATCCTCCAGAGAGGTCCTTTCTCAATAGTGTGAGATGAAGCACATCAGCTCGTGAGCAGCCCTTCCCCTCAAGACTTTCTTGACATCCGTCTCCGGAACTGGATGTGAAACAATTCAATATCAGAGGGCCTCTGTACTCTCTGAGCTTGTTTGTTTTCTTGTAGATGTTTCATGATCCAAACTGGGTAACGTCATCAATGCTGGTGATGTTACCACTGATGGCACCGATGGTGTTACCTAGATGGGTAATGAAATGTCCGCAAGAACACAACCAAGCTCAGCGAGCACTAAGGAACCCATAGTTCCCTCCTCCTCCTCCTCCTCCGCCTCCTCCTCCTCTCCACAAACTCCTCTCCCTTCTAGCACTGATGATGTTACCTAGTTGGGTAATGAAATGTCTGCAAGAAAACAACCCAGCTCAGAGAGCACCCAGGACCCCACAGTTCTCCTCCTCCTCCTCCTCCTCCTCCTCCTCCTCCTCCCCTTTCTTCCCTCTCCTTCTTCCTTTCTTTCCTCCTCTCATTTTTCTTCCTCCCCTTCCTTCTCTTTTTCTTTCTTCTCTTTCGCCCTTCATCCTCTTCTCCTCCTCCTCCTTCCTCTCCTTCCTCTCCTTTCTTCCCTCTCCTTCTCCTCCCTTCTTCTTCTCCCACTCATTTTTTCCCCTTCCTTCCTTCCTTCCTTCCCTTCTCCTTCTCCTACTCCTATTTTCTCCTTCCTTCTTCCTCCCTTTCCTCCTTCTCTTCCCTTCCTTTCCTCCTTCTCCCCTCCCCCTCCTTCCCTCTCCTTCTTCCTTTCTTTCCTCCTCTCGTTTCTTCTTCCTCCCCTTCCTTCTTCCTTTCTTTCTTCTCTTTCACCCTTCATCCTCTTCTCCTCCTCTTCCTTCCTCCCCTTTCTTCCCTCTCCTTCTCCTCCCTTCTTCTTCTCCCACTCATTTTTTCCCCTTCCTTCCTTCCTTCCTTCCTTCCTTCCTTCCTTCCTTCCTTCCTTC